CGCCGCCCGGCGCGCCGCTGCCGCACTACCTGGGCGCCTCGGTCATCATCACCAACGGCAGGTGACGTCGCGCAGGGCTGCCCGCAGGGAGAAGCCATAGGCCAGGCCTCGGGCTCCTGTTCTCCAGGGCGCAGCCGAGTTACGACGGGCGAGCTGTATATGCACGGTTTAAATTAATTTATACAGAGACGACTATTTTAATAGAACGCCGCGGCCGCCTTCTAGATTTTTACGTAGAGCCCACCAAGGCCGGTGCAGGGGACTGCGGCGCGGCCCGAGGCTGGGGTGGCGGGGGGAGGGGGGGAGAGAAAGGCCCTCCAGACCTTTGTTCTCCAAGAGCCGGGTTCCGAAGGGGCAGAGCTGAGCGCCCCCCGCGTCCCACGTGTGACCTCAAACTACCCCGTCTTGGGGGCCGACTTGGGTTCCTCACCTTGACATCAGGCTCGCGCGCCTCGCCTTGTCCCCGATGCTCAGTAGCGGTCCCACCGGGGGACTGCAGGAGCTTCCACCCCGGGGAGAGCCTCCCCTGTAGAGGGGAGAGCCCAGCCTGATACAGTCAGACACGCCGGGCCGCGGCGCACCTGGAAGGAGGAGGCCTCCTGACTTCAGGGCGCCCTAGAGGCCTAAGGCAGGGTGTGATGATTGAAGCCCCACCATCGACAACTCTGACTTTACAAGTCGTTCACGAGTCTCATTAAAAGTTGTTGTCGTTTTAATTTAAGCCTTTTTTCAGTACAAACATCCGCAAGCCGAGACCAAGGGAGTGAATGAACATGGGTGTGCCTCAAAAGCACTTTCATGAGCTTTTACTTCCTCCTAACCCCTGTGAACTCCTGATAGCACCAAGAATAGCATCTTCCGAATAAATGGGATAGGCATGAAATGCAGAAATACAGAGAGCCAGATGTTTTCCGAGAATGACATGTGGATGATGATGAGGTGCCCAAGGCGACTGGCTACCCCTGTCGGGTTTGATTCGAAAGCAACATCCCTCCGGCCCACACAGACCTGTAATTCCCTAGGCTCGTGTTTGCTACAAGTAATGCTAATAAAGTTAGTTAAATTGCATGTGCAATATGGAAAATTGTCAATGGACTGCGCCCTCGTGGAAGAAAACTCGCTAGAGGGATGGTATAAAAATGGTGTATACCTTTTCTTCAGCATTTCCTGCATTTTCTGCATAGCAAGAAAACCCTATGAACATGTCCTGTATGTGACAGGTGAACAGAAATCCTCTTATAAAGCACCAGCAGTGTTTTAAAAATAAACTTCCTTTCATTTTTGTCTTTTATATTTTTGCTTCAAGATCTCACCATTTAAAAATCCTACCATGGCTCTGAAATGGACTGATGCATAACCAGCGTGTTTCAATTTGCTCCACACTCTAACACTCCCTCATTGCCCTGTTTCCAAAATGGTTTTCTTTTAGGAAACTCTGCGCCTTTCTGAGTGGAAAGATTTTTCACACATGTCTTCAATTCATCGTTCTGGAATCAAGGCGCACCTATATATGATGGTTTGCAAAATGTGAAGTGATTGCTTGCCAACCTAGTGTCACACTGAGGGTCTGCCTCATCCTTAGCAGGGCATCATCAGTAGCCTTATGGTAGGGGGTGACATTTGCAAATTTAGGAACATGTGTGTTGCAGCAAAGGGACTGAGTCCTAAGACTCGAACGCATACACCTCTATACTGCACTTAGCTATACCTCATTAGCAGCTCTTTGTGCACACAGAAAATAAGCCTGGGGTATTATTTTTTTATGCTTACAAGTCTCGTCATTAAACCAGGATTCCTGAAAGGTGCGGGTTTGATGAGCAGGCGATATCACCTGACATTTTTCAATAAAGTACCACAAAATGCGTTTGTGTCTACCTTGTTATTAATCATTGGGTCTGTGTTCATTAGTAAATACAAACCACGAAGGCTTTCCAGCAGTTTAAGATCAAAAGTTACTGTGAAAAAATAAGACCATTATAGGTTTGCAAATGATAACGTAAATAGTCTTAAAATGAAACTTGAAAAATGAAATGTGTACTAGGGAAAACTTCCCTGTCTAAACAAGCATCGGGGTTTTCATAGCCTAGAACATGAAGGAAGATTCCTATGCAAGCCGGCTTCCAGGCGGCCGGCAGCTCAGTGCGAAGTTAACAGGGGTTACCATGGCAACCTAATATTGTTACCTCCACCTTTAAAAGTCTGCACATTTAAGCTGGGGCTATCATTTCTTGACTTCTGTGAGGCTCCGGCAGGGAAGAGGAAGCATTTTAATAAATATGACTCTCTTTCACAAAAAAGAAAGAGAGAAGAAAGAAAGAAAGGAAGGAAGAAAGAAAGAAAATTGTAGTGGGTCCTAACATGTTGACAAAAATGCCAGATCAAAA